GCAGCAGTTATGCAGTCAGATGGACATGACACAGCATTTACAGCACAAAACCAAAATGCTATCTTCAGCAAATGAATAATTTCAGACATTTAACATCTATAAGGTGCAAACATTCTTTGTAGAAGCAGCAATATAGAGCTATGTTGAATGGTACAAGAGCTGCATACAGAAACCAAATTAGGTGTCAACAGAATGGGAGATTTGGGGATACAAAAGAATGGTAGATACTCAAGTTATTACTCCCGAAATGCCTACAGAGTCAGACAGACTTTATTTAAGGAGCTCAGACTCTTCTCCTAGACAGCTTCCTCCTTTGTTTTCTATGTCACTACTATTCTATTCTGCAAACACAGGAATCATGACAGCTTCTTAATCATGTTCATTTGTACTTCAGGGCTAAAAACTCACCTTTTCTTGTTTAGATTTGGCTATCATCTCTTCTATGAGTTCTTTCCTAGATTTAGGTTTTTCCTCCTCTTCATCTTCCTGCCCACTTGATACTTTTTTACGAAGGAGGCCTCCACCCCCTCCAAAGTGAGCAGCAGTTAATTCAGCTGGGAAAAAAAAGTAGAATGTGAATCCTTTTCAAATCCATACCTGACTGCAGGAGAGCTGCTGCTGGGGCAGTATCTCCCTATTCCTGGAGAATGGGAGCAATTAGAACTATTGAACCAATCAAACATTATTCCCATCCCTATGGAATGGCTGTACCAAAAGAGATCATATTAGACACATAATTTACACTAACAAACATTTTGTATGAAGTAGGGACATGTTTTTTTCCAATATTTATGTGGCAGTTAGGTTCAGAGGTGCAAGAAAGCAGCCAGAAAACTCACACTTCAGACTCTGGCCCAAGAGCTCAAAACACAGGTACCTATTCATGCTGAGAAGCTCACAGAGTAAAGAAGCTTGCCAGGTAGGTATGTCCAACTTAACACCTGCTAAAATCCAGAGAGCTGGGCTGTGTGTGGTTAAGAAGTAATTAAATCTGGCTTAAACATTCCCACCAAGTACATAATATTCTTCCTCACTGAGAGACAGGACTGAACAAATGATGTACGTTTACCAACAATAAAACCAGCAGTGGGACATCAGCTGGCACATCTTACCTGACAGTGTTCCCCTTTCTTCTGTGTCACTGTCACTATCGACAATGTCATTTAGTTTCTCAATTTCTGCCAAAGATTGGCCATAGTGAGTCAATTCTTCGTCTTCGTTAAGATTATAGATATTCTTCTTTCCATAATTTTGCTAAGAACAGTAAAACACCCATTAAATATCAAAAGATCTTTAGCTCCCAGACAACAAATTAACACAGCCTGTATTTTTAGTACTACTTGAGGAGATTCTTATTCCAGTGTTTTGCTGGAACTCAAGACTGGAATAAGAGCATTACCAGAGCAATACTTTCATACAAATATATTAAACCTTAAGTGAGGGAGTATCATGTCTCTCTTATACTAATGTAGAAATGGACTAACTCAGGAAACATAAAGAAGCTTAACTTCTATCTATATCTGTAACATCAGTTTCTAATTACTACATTTCAGGCCTAATGAAACAGCCTTAAAGCTATACAAATTACCAGCAGAGTATGATGTTACACTACTCAATTCTGGAGGCTGAGTATGATGAGGCAGAAAGGAGAGTACTGTGCATACAATTCACTTTACAGAATGACAGCAAGTTACAGAGCTCTTCTACTCAGCAAATGAAATGGCTGCTGTTCTCCAGCTGCACTGGAATCTCAAAGTACACTTGACAGTTGCTGCCTTTTCCTAATTCAATTCACACATCACAGTAGTGAAAGCAGTTCAAGAAAACCGAATAATCAATGAATAATCAATGAATCTGCTTATAACTGGCTTCCTTGAATGTCAGTGCTCAAAGAAATTTATCCTGCAAAAAGTTGTCTTACAAAACCAGAAAGATTTAATGAAAAAATTTCCCACAAAAAAATTAGTTTTTCATAAGTTCCAAACATATAAAATCAAAAATAAAGCACTGTGCTGCAAAATCCTCTGCTAAGAGGGTGCTCTCAAAAGTCAAGCGTTCCTTGTGGTTTTGTGTTTGGTTTTGTTTTGCTTTCTTCTCTTTAAACTCCTATAGTTTACCTGTCTTTCCAAAGCGAATCGTCTGATCATCTTTTCCTCTGGAGTGATATTGGTGTTATATTCACCAAAACGTTTATCTTTAAACACATTTGCCTTTTCCCTTTCTTTATATTCTTTCAGCAATGTGTGGGTGCGCTAGAGGGAAAAAGACAAAAGGAGATAAAATTAAAAAAAAAACAAAGAGAGTAACTACTTTCTAAGTCAAGGCAAAAAAGGCTCCATGGTATCCTGTCAACATAACAAGCTTTATGTTGCCATCATATAGTAATAATTTATCAGAATGCAATGAAAGAGAAGGAAAAATTAAAGAGAAAAAAAGATGGGAAGCTCATGCAATATATTCAGTGTCACTAAGTTCTCTTATAAGCTGCCCATGTGAAGATAAAATATGTTACACTGTATCTCACCTTTATTTGATCACATATAAAAACTGTGTCTTTCTGCTAAAGAATTCTGATTCGTCTGAAGCTTAGGAAACAAAGAATATTATATTAAAGAAACCAAAAAAGCCAGAAGAAGTCAGCTGAACTTTTTTTGGTTTTTTCATTTAAGACATAACAACCCCAAGTGGGTCCATGCCTGGTTACAATGCACTCTACTTATGGTACAAGTAAGGAGACAGGTTTATTTTTCAATGCCACTGATCTAATTCATGACAAGCATCTGATTCACTTTACCATGAAAGAAAACCTCCAACTCTTAAAATGTGACCTAAAACATTCATGAAGTTTTCTAAAATCTTGACAAACAGCAAGGAAGACTGAAAGCTAATTTATAATTTCATGCTGAAAATACTATAGTTTCTAAAAAAGAAAATCTTGGCTGTGTTTGGGTTGAAAAAATATCCATTTTTATTGAAAACACATTAAATGAATCTTAGGTAAAGTTACTCTTGCCATTCATATTGCCAGGACCTGGCAAAGTGCTGCACTGAAGAAGAGGATCTGTTTCCTACATGAGGCCTCCGCAGCCTCACTGAGCATTCACAACTTTCAGATGACACCAAAGCTCAGGTTTCATCTCCTGTTGTGCCAGTTCTACCTTGTATTTACTTCCTGCACAAAATATAATTACCATGCAGCTTAAACACTGTGTATGTACTTTAATATGTACTTGGATATTGAAAAGCACTTTTGTTTATCAATTATCTGATTACCTCTCTTACTGATTAAAAAAATCACTGAATACATCATCTCTCACATGCAAAATGACAAACTATCCATTTGCTTTTGCTGCACTTGTCCTTTCAGTAAGTGCTTTAAATGTGTTTGAAAACAGAATGTATGTAACATGTCAGAGAGAATCTCAGGGGCACATTTTCAAATTATACTTTTTTCAGCCTTAATTGAATCTACAGAGGTTTTCTTTGCTGGTTTGTTTGAAGGGACAGACCATTGAAAAATCCAATGTTTCAACCAAGGATAAGGTAGGCTGCTGGAATCCCAGATGCATAGTAGGACATGCTCTCCCTTACACATTACAGATTTTAGACAGGTAGCTGGTGATGGCAGCAGAGGAAGACAAAGAGACAATTTTAGAAGGGTACAAAAGTGTAATAATAGATTTACTCTTGTTAAGTTGTACGATCATTCTTATGAGAGCAGAGGACAGATCACTGCATGCTTCTACAACACGACTATTTAATCAGTTCACAAAAGGTTACCCGCATTTGTTTCCAGGTCAATGCCAGTTTCTTTGTATCCACACATTTCTCCCTGCGTTCAAACCTTAAAGCCCTCTCAAGCTTTCACCATTACACCAACACAGCATCATTATCAAGAAGTTTTAACATCCTATGATCATCAAAACCCACCAACACAATGAACGCTGACAGCACTCTGGTCCCATATTTGCTCGTCGACAACACGTGCCACTGTATTCTGGATCTCGGTAACTCGAAAAGAGAATCATTCCCACACAAGCCATAAGGAAGACTTGTACTCCTGAATCCTGTGGGTTGCACTAGTGGGAGCCATTCCCAGAGCTCCCCATCATCTGCCGAGCAGTGGGAGGTGACCAGACATTCCTGTGCACGACGAAGGTGGTCCCTTTTCTCACCTGAGAAGGCTCCAGCCTTATCATCTCCCCACATCCGGGGACGCTATCCTTTCTCCCTGTTTTGGATGTCCTCTTACCTTCTTGATGGCCTTGGACCGTGAGACACCAGGCAGCCCCACATCATTCTTGGTTTTCCTCCCCAAGATGTCAAACTTCTGCCTGTTGACCTTCACCTCGAAGGGGTTACTCTTGACCACGGCCATCGCCGACTTCATGGGGCCCTTGGCTGTGGAGGGCCCTGACATCTTTCTCTTCCTCTTCGCCGCCTTCCCCATCTCTGCTCTGGCTGCCCGTGGCTGAGGGGAGGCAGCGGCTCAGCCCCTCAGAGCGCGGGGACAGCGCTGGGGGGGCGAACGGGGAGAGCAAAATGGCGCCGGGAGGGGGCAAAACTCCCCGAACTGCCCCTCGGCCTGACAGCTGCCCGCCGGGACAGCTCTCCCACTCCCCGTGAGAGCCGGAGGGGCGCGGAGCGGAGGAGGGAGCGAAGGAGAGGCAGGAGGAGAAGACGAAGAAGCGGCACAATCCCCGCTCTCCCCTCAGCAGTGCCAGGGAGCACCACATGCGCACCGGCAGCCCCACACCTCTCGCGAGATCTCCGCCAAACTACCGCGATAATTGACACTCTCCTCCCCTCCCGCTTTGGGACGAGTCCGGGGAAGGCTTAGCACACTACATATCCCAGCAGGCCCCGCGCGGCAGCAACGACGTCTCTCCCGCGTGCGCCGCGCTGTGCCTGCTGGGATTTGTAGTCCCAGGCAGCTGTGAGGGGGCGGTGGCGCAAGACCGCGGGGCGGTGCAGCCTGGGGCGGGCGGAGGAGCCATGGCCGGGGCGGCGGCGTGTTGCTCGCTCCCCGCCTCCGCCTTCGGGGAGGAGAGCGCGGGGTGCCGGGGCGAAGCAGCGGGTGATGGGGAAGAGGCGAGCGCGGCGCTGAGAGTCCTGTGGGGCCGGATGAGCCGAGGCTTGGCGCCGCGGCGGTGGCGGGGCTGGAGGAGAGGGCGAAGGAGGCTGTAGGGGCGGCCCCCGCTCCGGCTGCCCTGAGGGGAAGGAGCCCCCGACCATGGAGATCGAGAACATCGTGGCCAACACGAGTGCTGCTGAAAGCCCGGGAGGGTTGAGAGCCGCGGGGAGGAGAAGCGGAGGGCGAGGCGGGGCGGGCTGGGGTGCACGGAGGGGAGGGGAAAAGGGTCTGAGGTGAGGGGAAAGGGGCCCGCGGGGGAGGGGAGAGGAAGTGATTGGTGAGGAGAGAGGTGGGAGGAGGAGAGGCTGCGGGCAGGGGGTCCGGGCTGGGCGGGGACCCCTCGGGGGGGGCGGCGGGAACCGTCCCGGTGAGTCCCGGGTAGTGCCCCGAGGCACCTGCCCCGCTCCTCCCGCGGGATCAGCTTGGAGTTACAGCCGTGTGGCTTTGCTTCTGAAAAAAAAAAACAACAACCACCCCTTCCTCCTTCCCCCTTGATTCAAATAGTGTTTTTACCGGATGTTTTAAGAAGGTCGTTCGTCTGTAGTTCTCGGTTTGTTTATAAATATACGTGCACATGGGTATAAAGGACGAAGTGACATAAGATTTCTCTGGGAAAACCTTGCACTCCATCTTGTTGAAATTCCTGCCTGTGAAAAACAGAGCTGGTAAATGGTACTTAGCAATCGAATATTTTGTATTAACTTAATGCAAAAGTTTGCTGTTTTCCATTAGATTATTACTTACAGTTTGACTCCCCAGAACACCCTGAGTTGGAGATTCCTCCCCTCAACTAACAAACATTTTGGGTAATTAATTTAGTATAACACGTGGTTCCTGTTTAAAAAAAAATTCTGAAATAAGATAGTCCTGCTGCTTGTTCTTGTATATAACTGTCCATTAAACGACCACTTTAAAACCTCCCCAGATTACCACTGTACTTCGTGCAGAGTATGTTTTTCAACTCTAAAATGTGCATATTCTTTTTGGATTAGATCTTGCTTTTCTTAATTGGGTAGAGAAGTTCCATTAGGTTAGCTGGAGCTGTTCAAAGTGAGTAAGAACAACAGAATCTGCCTCTGTATGTTTTGCAAGTTCCTCCAACTCTAAATGGGTTTGGCACTTACGCCATATGTGTATCCAGTTAAATATGCCTTAAGCAGCAGGAGAGGAAAATCAGCTTTTTGACTTTGAAGTGGGGTTTAAAAACCAGAGCAGTGATCACAATTTTGGGCCTTTTCCCAACCTTAGCTAAAGAGACCACCTCAAACTAGAGAACGTGTTTTGGCTGGTTTCACTGACGGTAACATGTCTGTGGTGGTGCTGCCTGAATTTGGAATTTGCATTAAAGTGATCTGAGAAATGAAGGGAAAGTGGAATCTGGCTCAAAACTTTACTGTGCCCAAACCCTCACCACAGAGAGTGGAGTGGTAATCTGGAAAGGCTTTTAAGTGGCTGCTTAATGTCAGGTTGCCTCTTTAGTTAAGTTTTCACTATGTTTAAAATAAATTATAGTGGTAGAACTGACCAAACAAGATATTTTAATGAACTAAATGAAAGTCTGGCAGCAGCTGATGTGAAGAAGATCAGTTCTACCTGATGTGAGACTTATAAAAGTAGTGGTAATAAACTGTTACTCTTTTGTACCTTCACTTGGCCTGGGCTTTTTTGTAAGCATGCACAAAAAAATGTGATTTCTGGCTTTAAAAGTCCAGAACTCCATTGATCAATCGGTATAAGGTTTTTAACCTTTTCAGGTCTGAATTCCTGTACATGGGGTACTTCTTATGTCACATTTTTCAAAACACTTGTTGAAATGAAAGTATTTTCTGACTGTCTGGTCTGGGAGTGTCTGGTTTACTGCATCTGTCAGGACCATTCTGTAAAGTCCCTGTCCCAGCTCTGTTCTTACATGCCAATAGACTGCAAGGTAATGGAATTTGCAAAGTTAGTATGTGAGACAGATATTTTACTGAAATATATTCTTTGCTAAAAGGGCCTCACAACTGGGACAGAAGAGCAGACTTTCACATTCCTGTTACCTCACTGTATCATGTATGGAAAGGTGGGATAATATGGAAAAGTGCAGAATTACTGTTTCCCATGGAAGAAAGTGAAATCCTAATCTAGTATAAAATAGCAGCTTTACTTATTTTCATGTATAGGCTTGAGCCACGTCATTAATCATTTTTCTCAGTGTGGATTAGAGAGGGTGTTGACCTGGATAAATATTTCAGTTGTAAAAGTAAATGAAATAACATGTAAACTACTGTGCTCTTATTTTATAGTTTGCAGTGACATGTCAAAAGAAACCAGTGAGGTTTAATTATGGCTTGCTTTGGTCAGTCTCAGTCTAACTTGAGATTCTTTTCTGATGAAAATGAGAGCAGTAAAAGACCATACCCTTGAATGCATCTTACAAAGTCTTTTAACCCCAGAGATGTGTCATTTTAATTTTGCAAATATAGAAACTGAATTAAAGCTGTTGTGTACCTGTCCAGTTCTGGTGAGAGGCTATGGCAGAGGCTTAATGAGAATTCAGAAATCCCCCATAAATAACACCAAATCATACCTGAGCACATAACCAGACCTGGCAGTCAAAATCGTGATCCCAGATTTGTACTCATAATTTTCCTCTTATTTTAGATACTCTAATACTTCTGGATGTCAATGTATTAGGGATGTGAATATAATTTGGGGTTTACATTTGTAGGTGTGCAGGATCAGCACACCTTGAACATCCAGGTTCATGTTACTGTTTAAATCTGATTTGATATGTAGAAAGTAAATTTAATCTATGTCATTAGAGAGCAAGGAACTAATTAGCGTGCTTGGAATGCATCTTTTGCTGCTTTCTTCTCCTACAGAACAGAAACAAAGTGGTGTTGCTCTCTGTTTCTGTGCTACCTTCCACCTTCTCACTAACAGTCTTACTGTTAATTTATTTAATTGATATTTTTATTATTGTTTCTAATTCAATGTACATGATGATAACTTCTCTTTATGGGAGTTTACTAATCCCATTGTTTATGCCATATCCAACCCCAGCTTTCCCTCAGCCTCAAAACTTTAAATTTTGTCCATGAGAGGATGTTTACACCTTTTAATAAAACAGATTATTTTAATAGAAGCCTCTGTCCATTAAAGACTTACAATATCTCTGTAGCAACTACAACACTTCTTTATGTGAAGAAGGAAAGCCAGGAGGATTCCTTATCTTCTGTAAATGTGACTTGGTAAATGTGACTTGCTTTTATGGATGTCAATGGTGGCTCATAATTCAGGACGCTTGAATGTCCCTGCTACTAGAAAATACTGTGATGACACAAAGTACCCTTTGGTACTTCATGGATCAAAGATTTAGGAGTCAGGAGCTATACTGGGAGTTTTTCTTTCCTTGTCCACTTTTCCAGTTGACCTGCTTCTGCTGAGAGCTAACCTGCCCGTGGAGGGATTGCCTTCAGATGAAAACTGTAGTGCAAAGTCTTCTGGGATTCCCCATCCCAGTTTCCTGGGATAAGTGGCTGCCTGTGCCAATCCAGGTGTTTCCTCTTGTGTGTACCTTACTTTTTGAGGGAAACCTGTATGTGAGAAAGAAAAAGGGAAAACTTCCTCTTAAGGTGAACCCTATGGTGGAACAAGCACAGGTGACTCAGTAGAAAAACAAGAGATTATAAAGCAAACTCGGAGTTGATCTTATGAGCACTGAGGTGCAGGAACTGAGATACAGAAACAGGTAAGTGTTAAGTGATAGTGATGTGTGAACTGAGGTAGCTGGTGTGAAAGCTTGCAATTCCATGTTCTCCTTAATCAGATTTTCACATACAGGGATTTTTCTGTGTAAAAGAATAGTGTACAGCAATATGAGTTCTAGTTGTGTACAAGAGCAGAGGAATTAACACATTCATTTTTTTCCCAGCAGAAATATCTTTGAAATTAGTATCTCTTGAAGGACACTGATGAATTTGTCTCATAAATGGAGAAAAATAATAAATATGAACAAAGTTATTCTGAAAAAACCCTCAAAGTTCACCAAAAGATATTTGTATTTTATATTCACTTTTCTCTTCATGTTTGTATCTTCTGGTTTTTGTAGTTATTTCTAGCACTCTCAGTAAATCCTTTGAGTATATGTAAGCCCCAGATTAATTTCAGCAACCCACACATAGCCTGTGATGTTTTGAAGGAAAGAAATTAATCTCTGTATGTTTTAAACTACTTAGGAGTCTTTCTTTTTTCATTGCCTAAAGTAATAGTCTCCAAAAATACACCCAAAGGGTAGATATGCAGTACCTTTGAAGTCAATGGCAGTTTACTCCAGTTGAGGATCCATGCCAAGAGTACATTTTAAACATACCTGGTCCATTTGCATCCATTTAAAATTCATTTGTACTGCTGTGGCAGGAGCAGTTTGTAAATGGAAATTGGGTCTGCTGTTAGGCATATAATATCCTCTGTGTCCTGATTGATTTTGGCTAAATTAAGGTCATGCCTCAAGCAAATTTTCTTCCAGCTCTTGGTTGTGTTGGCTCTAGGCTGTGGTTGCAGAATGGGTGAGGTAGTTTCCAGCTGGATCCATGAACCAATCTGGGGTGTGTGGGGTTTTGTGGTGGTTTTTTTCCTATGTTGCTGGGTGTTTTGGGTTTGGGGTTTTCTTCCCAAAATTAGTTGTCAGATGGATCAGTAAGCTCCTGCAGATTTGATAATTGCTAGGTGCAGCCCAAGGATGGATTTAGCAGGAACCCTTCAGCAAGAGTGTGTGATCACAGTGTGGCTTAAGTGAATCCTGCAGGATACTTGTTTCAGCATTGATAACTGTGTTATGAAGCACTCTTCACAGAAAGTAAGCAGTCCACTCAAAGAGTGGGTTTTATCTGTCTAGGCTTAAAGCAATTGGAATAATTCTGCAGGTGAAATACATTCTACTTTTGCTTGCAGTATAGGGTAATAATTCAGTATAGTGTTGATGATGATAGAAGGAAGGTATCCTATAATGTGTGTTTTTGTAACTAGGAAGATAATTCTAAGGAGATTGCTCAGATTGCTGCAATTTGGCTACTGAACTGAACTAAAATCTTTAATTATTTAAGGGGTATGGACAAGGGGGAAACCAAGGCACACTCATACCCAGAAAGTCCATTCACCAACAGTAAAT